CCCCCCCCACTTCAGCCCTAAGAAACAGAATGGGAACAGATGAGGAAGAGGGAAAAGATGAGAAACAAAACTCTGTCACACAGTGAAGATAAATCAGACATAAAATGATGCAGTGGGAATATAAGATATGACTAACAGGGAATTTAGATTTTTCAGAAATAACTATACTGCAAGAAAGGCAGTAAAGAAAGGGGGTAAAACTCAGACCATTTAATTGTTTTGACCCAAAAGGACAGATTTTTAAACTGGTTTTATCTTTAAAAGCCATCGATAAAAGGAGTGCCTAAGTGGCTCAGCCGGTTAGGCGTCCAACTTCAGCTCAGGTCATGATCTCATGGTTCCTGAGTTCAAGCTCAAGAGATCGGGGCTCTGGGCTGGCGGTGCCTGTCAGAGCCTGAGGATGGCCGAAGAAATACCCCGTGCGTTCTCCCTCTGTCTGCCCCTCCGCTGCTTGCACTCGGTCTCTTGCATTGTCTCGAAAATACATAAACACTAAAAAAAAAATTTTTTAAGCCATCGATAATAATCTTACTAGTTTCTGAGCTTCTGTACTTTTAGATTCCTGTTCTCCTTTGCAGCATCTAAAACAAAGACCTCAGCATATAATAAATACTTGATTAACTGATGGCCAAGACATGAGAAAAACATTTCAACAGAATGTTTTATTGACTTTAAGTCAGCTGGGAACAATTTATGTATTTATGCTTTAAGACATTTCACCTTATTGGGGGGAAAAAAAAGATGTATGTTTTATTAGAGATTTTTGACTTTCACGTGTTTGCTGCTCTGGGCTGAGAAAATGTTCAGCTCTTTCCTGTTTCAGAATTTACAACTCATCAACGAAAGGTGTGTGCCCCAGATTTCCACTTGCTGCCATTGACTTCCGGCCAGAAACAAACTTCTTTGCAGCCTTGAAGTAAACAAACAAACAAATGACAGAAAAAATTAACAGAAATAAGAAAATGTATTATGCAGTAGATAAACTTATCTATTTTGTTATTTTAAGAGTTTATGGACAGGGCATCCTGAGCCAGCAATTCTGTACTAGCCTCTTGTGAGATTAACTACAGGAGAGGGCTGGTACGTTATTTTAATTTGTGACAATGTAGGAAGCAAAGCTCCGCTGTCCCTTTCAATGTTCCCTCATTACACGTGACTGAGCAAGTGTGGTGCTCCAGACATGAGGGTAGCTGGTAAAAAGGGGGATAGGGAAAACCTCACTGACATTGCAAAATAGGGCAGAGTCGGCCTCAGGCAGGGCAGTACTTTACTGTTTCTGTATTGCGATGGCAAATAGTCTGAGTCGATAAAAATACACCAACTGTCAACATAAAAGTCAAACTTTTATCTGTTTCCTTTATGCCACTATTTGAAGCAAAAAGGCTGGCCGATGAGGTCAGATGTACTACCGTGAGTAGCAGTCCCCCATGCTGTCTCAGGCACAGGGAGATCATGAAGAGGCAGCTGGGCTGGGACTCCCACAACAACAGTATAGTAAAGGAGAGCCATTTGGAAGGGTATGGAATGATGAACTTCGGGGCGAAGTGAAATCAAGTCAAAGTTACGACTTAAAGTACCCTGTTTCTTTTTTTTCTATCCTCATTGTCCCTACATTAAGGTGGAGCTGTTGGGGAGAAGATGGTGGAGACCTCTACAATGCAAGAGGAGTCGACATTTTTCATGTGGAAAAAACTGGGAAAACCCACTGATTGTGGATTTGTTCTGTAGTTCATATATTTGTTAGGCATAGTAGAGAGTACAAAAAGGTATAAGATACTGTCCTGGCCCTTAAAACAATTCAGTCTCACAATAATATATGTGAAAAAAAAAAAAAAAAAAAAAAAAAAAAAAAAAAAAAAAAAAAAGCAATAGCAGAATGTCTCCTGCTGAGAAGATGAACAAAAATCCTGAGATCCTGGATCATGCGGGATTGGCACGACAGTTTATTTCTCGGGAGGAGAACAAACACCGAACTCAACTATTAGGTTGAATCACATGAAATTACCAATAATTCAACTCTTCTTGACCTCTAAGAATTTAAAATGGTTTAACCTATTGGTAATTTAGTTGAATGAGGAAGATACATACACCCCAAGCTGATGAGCCATTTACAGACGTGATGGTAATGAGCCCTCCTACCTCCACACCAGGTGGACAGGCACCAAACAGCAGGACGGTGACATATATAGCCCAAGGGAACTTATGCATTCCTTCTGAAATTGGGTCGAGGTCAAATTGTTTGATGTTAAATCATAAGTTTTCATTTGCTTACATTTACAACATCTGTGTCTGCTACGGAGTCAATCTGCTGAAGGACTGTGGCTGGTGGTGTGTATGAACCAGCAACCAGAGCCTGGGACCCGACTTCATCCAGGAACTCCTCAGAAGACTCCACTGACATTAGGTAGCCAGCTTTCAGCTTGTTCCTGTCCAGTAAAAAATATGTAACTAAGCAGAAGCCAGTCTTATAAGAGCGAGACAATTTTAAACTCAAACTCAAACATGTTTTGGTAAGTACACAAATTAACAGCTTTGAAATCTTACAGTGCTAAACAGCTGCATTCTATTTCTTTAGTTCATCAATTTATGTTATTATTTACATTACTATTTAGAAAGCTGTCAATATAAGATTATACTGAAAACCTAACAGACTGCCTTTTGATTTGAGACTAGAGCTTGTATCTCATTAAGACTATTTTATTTCTTAAAGTAGACTCCATGCCCAATGTAGGGCTGAAACTTATGACCCTGAGATCTGGAGTTGCAGGCTCCACCGAGTGAGCCAGCCAGGCACCCCTCATTAAGACTACTTTATTAAGACTACTTTATTTATTTTTTAAAAGTTTATTTTGAGAGAGAAAGGAGTGCAAGTGGGGGAGGAGCAGAGAGAGAGGGAGAGAGAATCCCAAGCAGACTCTGCATGGTCAGTGCAGAGCTCAATGCAGGGTTCAAACTCACCAACCACGAGATCATGACTTGCTGAAGTCAGACACTTAACTGACTGAGCCACCCGGGGGGCCACAAGACTAATTTTAATGTGAAGTTTTGATTAGTGAAGTAACTCTTGCCTCCTAATACTTTTCTGGTGATGATTTTAGGCACTTCTATTAAGGGAGAATATCTATGTGGGGTCTTAAGACACTGTTCACTTAGCAGAATACTGTGTGCTGATTCTCTATCTTCCCCCCGCCCCCCAGGACCATTTCTACACTGAGATTTGTCTCAGTGAGGGTAGGGCATAATTGAGAAGGCAGGTGGGAAAGGTCATTATAGGTCCTACAGTCCTTGCAGCTTAAATATGGGCACAAAGTGTCAATACAAAATAAAACAAAATCCAATTCATAATTCTCTCAAACTGGTGTTCAATTAAGACACTTAATTTAACTCTCAAACTATCCTCCTTTGGCACTCAGTACACAACTACCATTTAAACATAATTACAATTTAATGCAGCAGTTTTACCACAATGTCAGCTTAATTAAAGATTTTAACAGGGGTGCCTGGATGGCTCAGTTGGTTAAATAAGTGTCCAACATTCAGCTCAGGTCATGATCTCACGGTTCATGGGTTCGAGCTCCACGTCGGGCTCTGTGCTGACAGCTCAGAGCCTGGAGCCTGCTTCAGAGTCTGTGTCTCCCTCTCTCTCTCTCCCCCACTCACACTCTGTCTCTCAAAAATAAACATTAAAAAAAATTAAAAAAAATTAACAAACTGATGGTTACTGAAGGGGAAGTGGGCAGGGGGATGGGTGAAACAGTTGATGGGGATTAAGGAGGGCACCTGTTGAATCACTAAATTATACTCCTGAAACTAACATTATACTGCATGTTAACTGGAGTTTAAATAAAAACTTAAAAAAAAATTAGCTACAATAAACTTTACCAAGAGATTATCAGTTTGTCCCTTCAGCAATGCCTTACTTTCTCTCTTTCACTACAGAAAGACTAAGAACCTTACAAGAAAAATATCAACTCTATCAAAATGGCAGAAAACAAACACATTGACATTAAAAACTGAAATTCCCTTTTCTACATGTTGCTGTACCTTATAAAAACTGTGGGGCACTTAAGGAAATACATTTTCTGAAATAAATTAGAGTTGAAAACAATTTTTCTTCTGTAAATCCAGTGTTTCAGTTTATTCTCATCATGTTTTGTTTCTAGTACAATCATGTAGAATTGCATCCTATCAATCAATCCCTGGTTCCATGTTTGTAATATTTAATAAACTGTACTTATTCAAGAGATGCAATTTTCTAGTGTTCTCAGTGTAACAGAAATACTACTACTAATGAGAACAAATGACCGAGAAGTTGTTCCCTCCTGGGTTGTAATTTGCCCTGTCATACTTCCTTGGTGGGTCATATTAAATGACCAAGAAGACAGTTTGAGTTTTTACGAGTCCCATTTTGAACTGTCCTAAATGGGTGGAATCAAATGTTTTAAACTGCTGTATGAAAACACAAGCTGATTTGTTCGAGACTCTCCCTGAAGATATTGAGGGGTGTTGCTGGCACTTTCAATGGGAATTTAAAAATCACCAAAT